GAATGAAATTTGCATGTTCTCCCCGTGTTGACGTGAGTTTCCTCCAGGTGCTCTGGTTTCCCCCACAAGTCCAGAGACATGCAGTACAGGTGAATTGGTTAAGCTAAATTGTTCATAGTGTATGAGTGTGTATGGATGTTTCCCAGAGATGGATTGTAGCTGGAAGGGCATCTGCTGCATAAAACATAAGTTGGTGGTTCATTCCACAGTTGCGACCCTTGATTAGTAAAGGGACAAAGCCGAAAAGAAAATAAATGAATAATATCTAAGGCTAAACCTCCAGAAACTAAATCAAAATCCACATCGCTGACCTAGTTGACAATCCTTCAGCTGCACATCTCGCTCTGGTGACCAGCTTTCCAAACACAATTTACACTTGTTGACCAGCAAGGTCTGTCTTTTCAGCAGCAGAGTCTTGTTGGAATATGATTGATGTTGCATTTGAGTTGCGTACACGCTACATGCACGGCTGAGTTAAAACATAAACACAAAGATAAATGTTTAAAAGAGGCCTGTCAGCAGTTTGTATGCGTGTCTGCTGCCAATGAACATGGAGAACCCAGACGCAAGCCAAGTAGAGCATGTGTTGAACTGCTCTGGACTCTAAACTCTTCCATACTCGAGTGTTTAGGCCATTTACTGCACAAAGCAGGGCGCTAACAGCTAAATTCACTGTGACATTAGCTGCTTTAGCATGAGATGCTGCAATTTTAACTATACAGTGGTCAACATATATAAGTACACCACTCACAAATCTCTCATTTAAATTCATATTTTTCATAGGAAGCTTATATCTGTGCATATACATTAGATTAGTCAGTACTGAAGCCAAATCTGGAGCTAATCTAACAAAATAGCTTATGAACACGCTCCAAAATTACTACACTCAAATGTATATGTGAGAGAAAAACATTTCAAAAAGAGTGAAAATTCAAGAGAAACTAAAGATTTATTCAATTTGGCTGATATTTTGTAGATTGTAAGATTTTTTCCAAAATCTTGCATGAATTTAAATGTTTTATCTTTCTATTTCTATAGATTTTCAGTGACTAAAATATAATTTTAATAAATATATTTGTTTAATAAATTGGTTTTGTATAATGTGTTTGTGTCGCTCCTGTCAGCTAAGAGCAGGAATCGGGGGCTACAATTCGCATAGGCTCACCAATATTGGACAATAGAAGATTGGAGAAACGTTGCCTGATCTGATGAGTCTCGATATCTGCTGCGACATTTGGATGGTCGGGTCAGAATTTGACATCAACAACATGAAAGCATAGATCCATCCTGCCTTGTTTCCTGCCTTGTATCAATGGTTCAGGCTGCTGGTGGTGGTGTAATGGTGTTAGTACCAATTGAGCATCATGTCAACGCCACAGCCTACCTACCTGAGTATTGTTGCTGACCATGTCCATCCCTTCATGACCACAGTGTACTCGTCTTCTGATGGCTACTTCCAGCAGGATAATGCACCATGTCATAAAGCGCAAATCATCTCAGACCTGTTTCTTGAACATGACAACCAGTTCACTGTACTCAAATGGCCTCCCCAGTCATTATATCTCAATCTAATAAAGCATTTTTGGGATGTGCTGGAACGGGAGATTCACATCATGGATGTGCGGCCAACAAATCTACAGCAACTGCGTGATGCTATCATGTCAATATGGAGCAAAATCTCTGAGGAATTTTTCCAGTACCTTGTTGAATCTGTGCCATGAAAGATTACGGCAGTTCTGAAGGCAAAAAGGGGTCCAACCCATTACTAGTAAGGTGTACCTAATAAAGTGGCCGGTGAGCATATATGATCTATATTCACTGATAAATGGATAAAACCATTCATTTTCAAAATGGGCACTGTACATACTGTATAAGAGGACTTTTAAAAAGCTTATACACACACATACACACACACACCAATTCAACCTTCTCCAACTTTCCATTATAATCTCATTTTCTTATATCATTAGAAGTGCTGCTGATTCAGATATGCTGGATCCATCTTAGCAAAGCACACATGCGTGGGTGCCAGAAGCATTGTGGACTCTTAATATAATATAACTGCCCTTTGAACCCAGAGGCGTTCTGTATGTTAGAGCGCATTACCTCTCTGAGTGGCTTTAAAGTGCTGAGTGTATTATTTGCATACATTAGGCTTTATTCCTGCATCGGTTAAGTGAAGATGTGACGTTCACTGACTTGGGATGGCAATCACATTTAATGCAACACATGAGGGAATTGAATTAGGTTTTTAGCTAACACTGCAAAATGACCTGGATGGAGTCTTTTTACTGACCTGTTTAATTGAATGGAGTTTCTCTTATGCAAAGTAATAAGCGCAGACACTCTGTAGCTGGGTGGATAATCCACTGACTGATTGGACACAGTTGGAATTGCGGTCATTACCTTCAGGAGTGCGCAACAGGTGGACTGTCCGATTATTATTAGCAATGTTTTTGAACCCAGTGGTTGGGTTTGTCCATATTTGACTCACTTTGTGTTACAATGACCCAGTATTTATTAATTTTTTTTTTTTTTTTTGAGTGCATGTGAGTCTTCTGGGAGGTGGCATGGTGGCTCAGTGGTTAGCACTGTGGCCTCACAGCAAGAAGGTAGCTGGTTTGAGTCCTGGCTGGGTCAGTTGGCATTTGTGTGTGGAGTTTGCATGTTCTCTCCGTGTTGGTGTGGAATTCCTCCGGGTTCTCCGGTTTCCCCCATGAGTCCAAAAACATGTGCTATAGGTGAATTGGGTAAACAAAATTGGCCATAGTGTATGAGTGCGTGAATGTGAGAGTGTATGGGTGTTTCCCAGTACTGAGTTGAAACTGGAAGGGCATCCGCTGCGTAAAACATATGCTGGAATAGTTGGCGGTTCATTCCGCTATGGCGACCTCTGATAAATAGGGGACTAAGCCATAGGAAAATGAATGAATGAATGAATCTTCTTCTGAGATATGGTGACTTATTTTTATTTATTTATTATCTTTTAAACTAAAAAATTAAATAAAATAAATAAATAAAACAAAACACAATAAAATGAATAAATGAACAAAACAAAATAAATAAACTAAAAATTATAAAAATAAAACTAAAGTAAATTTATAAAATGAAATGAAATAAATAAATAAAAACATAAATAAATAAAAATATTTCATTATTATTAAATGAATAAATATTAAATAAAAAATAAATAAATACGTAAATTAATTAAATTAAATAAAGCGGTGTCTCGATGGCGCAGTGGGTAGCGCGATAGCCTCACAGCAAGAAGGTCGCTGGTTCGAGCCTTGGCTGTGTCATTTAGTAAGCATTTCTGTGTGGAGTTTGCATGTCCTCCCCGTGATTGCGTGCATGGGTCTTCTCCAGGTACTCCGGTTTCCCCCATAAGTCCAAACGCATGTGCTGTTGGTCAATTGGGTAAGCTAAATTGTCTATATGTGTGACTGAATGGGTGTTTCCCTGAATGGGTGTTTCCGACTAAGCCGAAAAGGAAATGAATGAAAGTAAAATAAAATAAAATAAAATGGACAAGTCCAACTGCTGTGTTAAATCATTACATTAAATTTTAAGCCCAACTTTACTTCAGTTCATCCACATTTTTTCAAGTGGTGCTCGCTGCAGAGACATTCCAGCGAGCTGAGCTCCAGCGAGGGGGAGCTTAAGCTTGAGCTCCACCTTTTTTGCACTTCTTCTACGAGTGATGTCACTGGGGGTAGGGTTAGGGGTGGGGTTGGTGTACGCATTAAAACAGCTTACAGGAGGCAGAGCGAGAGCTCATGCTCCCCCTCGCTGGAGCTCAGCTCTGCTCAAATGGCTCTGCAGTGAGCACCCTCTCCATTTTTTACCCAAATTTGGGTAAATAATTTTTTTTTCAGTGTACACTATAATTATTGAGTGATCTTCAATAAGAGTGTGTCTCGTGTATCACATAGCACTTTTGAGCTTCTTCGAGAACCATTCAGAGTTATATGTAATCATTTAGCAGAAGCTTTTAAAGCAACTTACAATTGAGGAGGCATTCAGCGATTCAACAAGAAGAGGCAATACACACAAAAAGTGCTAATTATTATTAGAGGAACTGTTAGTGCTCAGAAAATTAAGTGCTAGAGTAAGGAGGGGGAATGTTTTGTTTATTTTGTTGTTGTGGTTGTTGTTGTTGTTGTTTTTGTTGTTTTAGAATGAAGAGTGTTTCTACAGGTGGTTTGTCAAGCCCACTCAACAGTGTGAAGCTCACTTAAAAAAATACAATGTTTTTGTTTGTTTGTTTATTTTTTCGCTCGTTTGAGATGTTGAGTGATCGTAAGAAAGTGTCTGGTGCAAATGTGCAAAATTAAGGAATTTTTGCTTAAATTGATAAGAGTCTGTTCTACAGGTGGTTTGTCAAGCCCAGTGTGAGGCACACTCAGAATTGTGTTATGTTGAGGTTGTCATGTGGTGTGATTTGGTGTGGTGGAGGGGGAGAGAAGATGGGGTCCTGGTTTTGTTCACAAAACGTATTGGTCAAATCTATTAAAGTATGTGTAAAATGGAGGGGGGAAAGAATGGAGAACAACAATAGGGTTCTGGAAGTAAAAAGTGCATGACAGCTATGCTCATTCATGTTTGCTATTTCACAACTGGTTCATCAGATTTACAATTTTTTTTTAGGGTAAGTGGTTGCAAACAATTGATTTGGGCTGAATTTCAACAAACACATTAGGTTGAACTTGACTAAATTTAACTTGTTTGTTTAAATTCCGCCCATATAAATAGTTACCACTTACCTAAAAATATTGTAAATCCAATTAATCATTTTTTTTTCATTGTAGATTAATTGGCCAGCATAATACTTGACAATATTTCTGATTTTACTATGCTTTGATTAAATAAATAAGTAGTCTTGATATCAGAAGAGATTTTTTTCGAAAACACTGACAACTTTCACTGGCCCCAAACTTTTGAATGGTTTTGCATATGAACTCAAACTAATTGTGTTTTCCCACTCTATTTTTCCATCTAAG